TGCAGATATCAGGAGGGTGACTGTAAATGTCTGGATGTGCCTTGAGTTTGGCCCTTCAGAGAATGGGAGCTGGCAATGTCCCCTCCTTGGGACCCAGAGTCTGTAAGTGTTTTTGACAGTTTGGGCTTTAGGAGCTTTACTTGTGAGCCAGGTGAAAACTGTCCTTCTGCAGAAGAAGGTATTAGTAAATATAATTGTTTTTCAGCCTAGAATACAGATGCTTTGCTATACAAAAGGCTACTAAGAGCAGCCTGGTGTAGAATATTAAAAAATGCATCTAGAAACTTGATAAACTCAGCCCCAAAAATTCACCAACTGAACAAGCAAATAATTGCAAAAGCCATTTGGATAGGGGGCTGACAAATCCTAAGCAGAAACATTAAAATGATGGGAGTTGGGAAGGTGGGGCTATCACTACAGTGTGTAAGCACTACTCATCAGCTGCAATCAATAAAAGAAATAGAGCTACTACTTGCTTAGCTACTCTATTGACAAGCAAGAGGTAAGTCATTAGATATTGAATCCATTGATCTGTCTGATTGAATCATTGATCTGTTACCCAGTTACTCCACTGCAGTGCCACATTTCACCTCAGAGAACTGGAACTATTTTGCTGGTCCTCTTTAGCCAGTATCTGTTTATTGCATTGTCATCCTTGAAAATGGGTGTGTAGCACACATGCTAAGCCTGTTATCTTTTTCATGGAAATCACCTGAGGATTTTTTATAAGGCCCCTATCTCTTTCTCCAGCTCAGTCAGTGGTAAAATACTTTCTTGGGTTACACAGCAGTATCAAACAGAAGATGACTTGTGGTGAGGCAGCTGATTCGCTCTGCACCTGAGCTTAGCTGAGTTGGGTTGAGGTTAAACATGGACCAGCATGACAATATAGAGGGATACCCACAGTTTTATCCAAAATCACTCTGGTGGATGCTGTGATATCAGAGCAGAAAGTGCCTGAACAGGTCCACACAGATCTTGATGTCTAATTTTTTTTTAGATTAGTCAACTGCCAAGCTGTCAAGCTCAAATCAGGCAACCAGCCTTGTAGCTGCAGACTGTCACTTCCCTCTGTGACTGAGGACCCCATAGCTGGGTCAGCTGAAGAAGGATATGGGACCTCAGTTGATGTATTTTCTCCGTGTCATACAAAGGAAATTTTTCTTACTTCTCATTCTGTCATTCAGTTACAGATACTGTTTTTTATGAGTTTTTTTCCTTGCTGTTCTTCATTTTATGACATTAATTTGGCACTATCAGCAGCTCAATCATATTAATGTCAACCAATTAGAGATAATTTGTGTGGGCACTGTTACATTAGCTAACTGTAATTTCATTCTGTGGTCAGGTATTGTAGTGGTTTTCCTGTTAGTCTTTGAAATGTTCATAATAATGAATAAAGTAACATGAAATTGTGATAGCTTAAATAATTCTTCAATAAGATACAAAATAATTGCATTTTAATTCCTTCTATTTGCATGTTTTTTTTCCCACCCTCATTGTAGGTGTTCCTTGCTTTAAGAATAGCTTCACTTCTGGAGAAATAACATTAGGTCATGGGGGCAGTTTTTACACAGTTAAGCCATATGGTTTGTCTTCTGTGTCCTGGCCTAAAAAGGGACAACTACATTCATAAAATATGCAACGTGCACTTAAAAATATATTTTTATTATGTCATCTCTGAAAGAATTCATTTATTCATAATAAAAGTCTGTGTGTTTTCATGGCAACCTGGCAATTCTTTTTTTTTCTATTAAGCATAAAAAAAAGATTTGGTTCTTTCGCATTCATTATTTAAAAGATTACTCATACTCAGTTTGACAATTAAAAAAAATCCACAGAACACAAATTTTTACTAATTTTTTAGTTAGTCTTAAAACCAGAATTACTGTAGTTGTCCAAAATTACATTACTCCTAACACAGTGGTGACAAATGTATTTTTATACTTAGAAAAATTAGTATGTCTTACATTCACCTTGCAATGACTGGGTTAGTCTGGCATACTTTTTTCCAGAGCTGTTGAGGGATTTGTTTAGCCCAATAGGATTTGTATTGATTTCTGTTTCACTTTTCTTTTTTTTGGTGATCTTTATTCTTGGGTTTTTTCTTATATTGATTCTGAAAGCTTCAGCCATTCGGGTTATTACAAATGTTGCTATATTTATGCTGTAATCCTACTACAATAACCAAGAAGTCAGACTTTCACAGCCTTTCATGCACATATGCCTAACATAAAAAGATGCACACACACAAAAACCTGAACTTTCAATTGGTTTGCTGGAATTTGAAGCCTCTGAAAAGAACTTACCATACATTTTTTTTCTACAGATTATTTTTTTCAGGTGATACAGGGCCATTACAGGGACTATAGTATTAATTGGTAGTTATTGGCTACTATTTCTCATTCCACTTAGACCAAAATTTCAAATATACATTTGAGGTAAGCCAGTAAGCTCTGGTTTATGTCCTACCTGAATATTTAATCTATATGGACCAAAGAGCTGTATAAATATGAGACCATTTCAAAAGAAATCCAAGGATTTTCATAAATAAAAGCAACTATAAATAGACAAGCACAAAATTTAAAAAGAATCTTTCCTGGTTTACTGTCAAATACACTCAACATAAGCAAGTTTCCTTAAATGAAGAAAAAATTATCAAGGTAAACTCAGCCATTCTAGCAAATCCCATATTTATGTTTCATCCATTAAACTCAGAAATAGCACTGCTTTAGCTGCCTGTTTATGTTTTGATATGTAACTGTATTATTTGATCAAAACCCACAAGCAGCAGTTGCCTAACTCTAGAAGTCAGATGGTCCCATAGAAGCCTGTGGGACTAAGTTATTTAAAATCAAGCAATCCTATGAGGATCTCTCTTAGGGAAGAGACCAAAAAAAAACGTCTTATAGGCATGTCAGCTTCAACAGCACTGGTTATTAAGAATGATAATTCCAACCACTTGGAATTATGCTAGCTAACCCAGTGGATCAGAAGACCCTTTGATACCAGTGCTGCAGAGCAAACCTTGCCAAACTTCAAACTGCAGCTGTATCCCAAGAGGAAAAACTTTCTCCATCTAAGGCAGATTTTGGTCAGCTTCCAAAAGTGATTTATTCCTCCCTTCTTAATAAAACATCTTTTTCAGTTTTATGGGTGACAGACACTCACTGTAGCTTGGAGGGCTCAGGGTGTAGAAAAACTAGCAAAGAGCAATTATCCATCCCAGCCCCAGGTGGGAAGCACTGAAAAGTACTTGCACATGCAGTGGATGTGAAGAGACCGTGGCCACAGAGAGGACTGAGGCTGAGCAGAGTGAATGCTCTTACATGGTTTTACTGTAAGCACCTGAATGATAAAGTCAGTTCCCACTGTGGGGCTGGGAATGTTCTTACAGATACACATCCTACATGCTGGGGTGATTAGGGATTCTGATTTAACCAAAATTCTGCACCAACCCTCTAGGAATGTGGATATTTCATTTAGCATAAGGTTTTATCTGCTCTCAAGTGCTGAAGCACCCAGTATTTTGTGAGTTGTGGGAGAGGGAGAAAAGATTTATTTTGTGTTATCATAGGCAAGTGCTAAGTAAGACTAAGACTGGCTTACCACCACTAGAGGCACCTAGAGCTCAGTAGATCTGCAAACTTTTCTGGACTGTCAAGCTGTGTTGCTAGAGCTGAGCTATTTCAGGGAGTTCATTACATGGTTGAGGAATAAATGAAATAGTCACAGCTCCTTTTAAGAGTTATTGATGGTAATAGCAGTCTTCCTCTCAGATAAGACCATGTCACTACCTTTAAAATAGAAGACCATCCATGTGAAAAATAGTACATAAAGAATAGAGCTATTAATGTAGGAACTGAACCTTATGTGTAGTTTACCAGGTACTGTGATCCATGGGCCACAAAGAGGAACATATAGAGAGACAGCTGTTGAAGATAAAACACAAACCTCCCCTCATTTTTAAATAAATCAAATTTTATTTTAATGAAGAGTAAAGGCAGATACAAAGTGTGAATTAACCAAACAGAAAACAGAAGAAAATCTGATAGAACTGAAGTAAAACAGTTTAAAAATTCTCAGACTTGCTTCTATAACACTCCATGTTATATGCCACATATTATTCATTTCCCTGAAGACTTCTTTTGTGCTAAATTCTGGAAAAGAGAATGGAATTGTAGTAAATGAAATATTATAAGCATAGCATGTTTTAACAGAGAAAGTTTTAAACATTGAGCTTTTTTGTTTTTCTTTCTGAAAAAAAATGAAAAAAATTAACAAAGTACAAGTAAGTTACATTACTTCAACAGAAACTTGAAACTGATTATAGGCCTGAGTAATGTAGATTCCTCAGGACTGTCATTCTGCTTGATGGTAGTGGCAGCTGTGTCTTTGTACAGATCAATCAGGGGCTCTAAAATGAACTTTTAAAACCTCTTTGTTTCCCAAAATGGACTTCAAAATTTTTTTTCTCTTTGTATTGTGACACAAACTGACAATCAAGAAACTTGAAGTTAGGACTGGCATTCAGAGAAAAACATGTTTTATAAGTTTTTGTAAGGAATTTGTGAGTGGACAAAATAAAATACTAGATGAAAGGATGTTATTATCATCTTATTTCTCCATACTCCCATCTTCCATTTAACTGGCAGCAGGAGGTAAAGGTTAATTTAGCTCCTAAATGCATAATCTTTTGCAGCTTTCAATAAACTAGCAATTTATGTAAGTCCCCCCCACCCCACAATACATCTTTCTTCTGCTGAAAGCATATCTTTAAATTCGTCTTTGTGCTTTCCTTTTCTGTAGAAATTATATTCCTGGAAATTTGGAAATAAGCTGAAACAAATTAATATTGGTAAGTGTCTGCATCAAGAGGCTAACTAGGCATGTGCATAGTATAAAAAACTGCTTATCTAAAACCACTGCAAATCATCCTAAAGGACACCTCTAAAACTAAAGTTATCAAACACTTAAAATATATAATGAAAATGGCATACCATTTGCAGAATTTCAATTTCTGTTTGAAGAGTCTCACAGACACTTTCCCAATTATCATCTTTGCATTTTTCCAACTCTTTCTTAAGTCTGTGTCCAAAAGCAAATAAATTTTCAGGTCAGAGAACTGTTGCTGGGTAACTTTTTTTTTCAGCTTTGGTCCCAATTCTCAATTTGACTTGTGTGAGAAAAGCCTCATTGATCTATTTTCCTGGTTAGGATTTAAGTTTGCTAGTTAGACAAATTTCTGGAATCTGTTGTTTCCATGAACTGTGAAAGATATATGGCCTCACTAATCATCATTTTCCTTATTTAAACATGTGAATTGGAATGGTGATACTTAGAAAGTAACATATATTGCTGTTCTTATTTCTCCTGGGTATCTTCTTGTGGCCTCTGCTGGAGACAGAATGTTGGCTAGATGGGTGCTCTGCTTTCCCTGGGCCAGCATTGTTCCAAAACCCTCCACAAACTCCACAGCTTTTTGCTCCTCTTGTCTCCACACTTTTCCCACTATTCCTCAGCACTTACTGTTTCCCAGTACTCCCAGCCAGGAGTTCTCAAATTTTTCTACCATAAGGATTACTTTTAATATAGATATTTCTTCATTCAGAAAGTCCTGCTCAAAAGAGATACCTCAGCTCTGCACATCAGTGACTGTAGTGGTTTAAATTATTACTTGGTAGGCCCAGAGAAATCTCTGGCAGAGCTTTCAGTAGTCTGATAAATACAAGGTGATGAGATTATACTGGGTCTTTTCATGGCTGTCAGAAGAAAAGCAAAATGACAGAGATAAAGTTGTTTACCCTTAATACAGTTTCAGGAAACAATCTGAATGTTCTGGAACATACAGACTGAAAATATTCTGCTTGTCATTAAATAGCCAAACCAATGCATTAAAGCAGGACTCTTTTTCTTCTGAAGTTGAAACAGAAGGTAGCAACTATTTTTGTTTTTATATATTATAATAGACAATAAATTATTTGACCTTATTATAGAGATGATGTACCTCTTTAGCTGTCCTAGTGAAAAGAGAGTTGGTTTTCTACACTGAAATGGCTTTATTAAAAGTTGTACCTTTAAGTAGAGGAATAGCTTAGTCAGTGTGCAGCTTTAGAACAACAGATTAAGACTAGATGTTAATTTTGCTGTTCCTGTGGAAAATGCAAATATCTTACCATCAATACGGAAAAAGTATGAGCTCTATATGCTTGTATTATAAAGCAGTAAATGTCCTTTCTTTCAGAAATATTTCTCATAATACAAGAATCAAAAGGAGAATTTTGACTGTGCTTCAAGAAATGAAATTTTCATTGCACTGTAGTACATTGTTAGTTTTCAGTCCATTTCATTGAGAGAAGTTCACTTCAAGGTCTAGGGTCAGCTTGTGATCTTGATTAAATCTGCTTAACTTCATTGCCCTGTCTGCATTTTTCTCTCTGTGTTCTCTGCTAGTGTGATATTAGAACCCTAATTTGCTTGAGACAAACAAAAGCCCTACTCAGTTTAATTTACTTTAGGAAAAGACAGAGCATGCTAGTCTTAGAGAAAATGCCCTCCCATTGTCTTTCACACTGTAAAACTGATGCACAGCCTGTTTGCCACTTGTTAGCTCGGAATTATACCAGTCCATGCTAGGTTCACATTAGGGATAGAACAAGCAGAAGATAAGCAGTAGTAGTTGCTTATTTGTGTCTTGGGATTGTGAATTAATTTGTTGATGATGTACTTTGAAACTAACATTTTGAGTATGGATTTAAAATTTTATTTCAAATATTTTATAAGACTTGTAATGGTAGTGACAGCACAATTCCTCACGTAGCATCAGGTAGTGGTGATACAAGACATTCATTCAAATGTGGTGTTTAATTCTTACATTAATCAATTGATTCTGCTTTCAGGTCTTCCTTCTTTCTTATTTAGAAGCTAGATAATTACAGTATGTGCCAGGAATAATATACTCACAAAATAAGAGCTGTCTGTTAGGTTACAGTCTACAAAATTAATGCATTGGAGATGCCTGAGTTACTGAATAAATGATGAAGTTTTACCAGAAGGAATGTGAGACAATGGAACTATTAAAAAAAAATGTTTAACCTGAAAGCAGATTCAGTTTTTTCATTTTACATTTAAGATAAGCAGGATATTCATATTCATCTTTCCAGTATCAGATTGAATGTGCAAACCAATTATTCATGAAACTACACTGTCTCGATAGAAGGCAGGTTTTCTGTCACCTTTGAAAATGGAAGAAGATGTAACTTTTGCTAGAACAAGGATTAATTTGACAATTATGCCCTTTTTATGACTATGAAAAAAGGCAGATCTCTTAGGAAAAATAATCTGAAAAATCACATTAGCATTTGGCTCCCCATGTCCTTTAGTTTTGTTTTATTTTTAGCATTTTGTTCTCCTTGCTGACAATAATATATAGCTTTAAAATAAGTCATTGCAGTGGACTAACAGTGTCTTGGCAAGTTACAGTATCACAGGCCCTAATGAACAGCTGGAGCTGAAATGCCACATTTGCAACAGCTAAACCTAGCCTTAAATCAAGTAGGTGGGAAAACAACATCAGCATTTTTTGGATGCTGTCTTGTCCTAGACTGAGCTCTGCTATCAATGACCCATTTTCCATTAGTCTTGAATGCTAGAAGTGACAGAGATGAAGAAGGAGGAGATCACTGAAGATGATCGATTCTGCAGCTCTGAAATGAGCCCAGCTATTAAATGTCATTGGCATTTGTGGTTGATACACATTCTTCTTGAATTTCAGCTCTATATGCATGTGGCAAGGAGGAAAAATAATTTGAAATCAATACATGCTGGTATTATAAATTGAACTATGAAGAAAATAATGTTATTGTCAAACAGGTCTCTCTGCAAATCATCCATAGATTCAAATTACTGGATCAAAACTTTAGTATCCAAAACTTGCATTCCAAGAATAATTTTACATTAGGTCTTAAAGGAGAAATAATTTCTTTAGAAGGTAGGGTTAATATGTGATTTTAGAGTATTTTTTTTTCTAGTGGGGCTGAAAGACCCTACTTAATTGCTGTTGGAATTGCAGAAGGAGCAGACTGTCTCTTAGTTATGTTTAGCTGACACAAGTACAAAGTCTTTTCCTTATTCTCCTTTTTGTCTTTGCCTTGTTTATGACCACCATTTTACTTTTTAATCATAAATTGGAGGGAAAACATTGTGGTGTGTTATAAAACAGAATTGCGTGACACTAATATACAGGGTATAGAATGCATGGTACAAAATGAAATTCCTTAAGAAGCTATATATAATTTGAGAGTACATATCTTGATTTTCTGGGATTTCATCATGAATATCAGGACATACATTTATTAATATTTTAAGACTTTATTGGGACCGAAGAAAAGTATTGAAGACTTTAGTTTGTCTCAAGCTCAAGTAGAGATCAGACATTGAAGTAATTCTTAGGGATTAACACTGGAATTACATTACTGTGTATGTTTCTACAATGAGAGCAAGATTTTGCTGGTATTTACAATTTGCTGACACTACCCAACAGAATATGCTATTGATACAGTTGGAGAAGTCAATAAATTTCAGACTATTATCAATTGATTAAGGAAGAGAAAAAACAAGTCCTAAATGGAATATAGTATCCCGAAATATAAAGTCAAGTACTTGAGTTACACAATTAAATATAAAAGTCTGTGCTTGATGGAGCAGAAGGACAATAAAATTAAACAACTGATCTAATAGTAATCATAAAGTCTAGCAAGAAGATGAAGCATGAACAGTAAGAAGGTACTAGACAACATAACAATGGAAATCAAGTGCAAATGAAAGGAAATTTAACTATTTTAAGTAAAGTAAGAAATTTTCTGCTTTTGCTGTCCTGGATAAAATGTTAAATGTAAAATATATAGTTACCATTGATTAAAGCTTGCATTTTGTGAATGCTGTCAGGCACCTATTCATAAGCGTAGTTAGAGGTCTTGAAAAGTGTGGTGGTATTTTCCAAACACATAAAACATCACAAGACATATTTAAAGAATATATAATAGATGAATAAACATGGAAAGGTTAAGGCACACTAAATTGCACATTTAGAATGAGATTTGCTTTTGTGCAGACAACAAACCAAAGCTGGGTAGATTATTTTTCATTGGAACTGTAAGAATGAGTTACATAGGAAAGAAAAAATACACAAGCATGGATGTGAGATGTGAAATGAAATGTGTTTCTAGAGGTCAATAAGATTCCTATTGAAAGGCACGGAAAGTAAATAGGGGTCAATGGTTCTTCCAGTTCAATTATCTTGATTTTTCTATTGAACAGAGAAAATTAGATCTTAATCTGGATATATTAGTAGGGCTGATCTATTGCTGAAGTTACTATCTCTGTTATGTACTTCTTTCTTCATGTGTATAATACACTCAGAGCTAAAAAGGATTTAGAATTGTCCTTGTTTCATTCTGCTTTATGGGCTCTCCATGCTCTGCTCAACTTCCAGGTTGAATGAATCTTTTTTGATAAGTAGGTGAGAGATATGTACAAAGTATTCTTACACCCTCCTGGTGTTTTTTTGGAAATATCTCTTTCTTTTATCTCACCCAGAGCTATATTTTGTTTTGATGTTTATAGCTGTATTTTGTACACTGTCTGTATTTTGTACACACTATGCTCAGACCTCTCTGCTTCCAGGTACCTGTTCTTGAAGTCCCTAATTGTGTGCAAGTAGATAAACTTACACTGTATACATCATATTCCTTCTCTTTTTAGTGACCCTTCTGCTAGGTGTAGAGTTTAATTATTTAAGATAATGTTGTCTTGAAACACTTTCTATTCTAAAGTCATTAATTAAAACATTAAGCAAGAGCAACTGTGATTGTTGTTACCTTAGAGTTCCAGAATTTTAAATTGCTGACCTATGACTGTTCTTACTATTACACATTTCTTTACTTACTTTTTAAAGTATGTCTTCCCTAGGATAACAAGTATTTTTCCATGTGGGATAGCATCAAATACTTTATTAATATCTAGATGGATGCTATTGGAAATTTCTTTGTCTAACCTATCTGTTGCCTTATCAAAGAAAGGTATCATTAGTCAGATTTGATCTGCTTTTTGTAAATCCATTCTGCAATTCATAATGGAAAGCTATTTTAACATAATTCAAGCTATAATAGTTCCACTAGGCACTGCTATTAAAAAGAAAAGCTCAAAAAATCAATGAGGAGATTGCCATTGAAAAACTCATTTTGAACCACATATATTACTCCAGAGACTGATATTTTCTGATTATAAAATTTAACATAAATTAAATAGCAAAAAATAATATTTAACCCACCAGAAGAATTCATGGAGTGTAGGCAGTCTGTTGATTGCATGGACAATTTGTTGAGCTCTTAAGAATATATTTCCTGTATGATTTGTATGAAAGAAAAAATTACTTCTTCCTTCCTAAATTTGGTAATAGGGTTTCTTTTTCTGAATTATGAAGAATAAGAAGGAATACTATATTTTTAGGATTTAGACATGTCTACAAAGCGGTGAACTATTTACAAAGTAAGCAGATTTCATGCATTTCTTTTCTGCTACTTATTTTCTGAAGTAGAAGAGAAATTCATGTTTCAAATAAGCAGTTTATCCTTATTCTACTTTTTAAATAGGTTGAAAGATATCTATTTTAGGTAGAAATGCTCTGGTTTTAGTCTAAATGAACTTCAACTAAAATTTTTTCTAGGCTGTTTTACTTAAGGCAACACAAAAATTTAAAATTAAAATGTGAAAGAATAAATAATTAATACAGTAATTACAATGAATATAACAGTGAAATGCCATTGTTAGGAATTTACTGATATCAGTTAGTGTCTGTTTGACTCCTGCATGTTCCACTTAAGTGATGTTACTTGCTATCTGCCAGGGAAATGGGACTCCAGAGAGCTGATGCCAAAGTTCTTTCCTGCTGTTTTGTAGTTTGAGGATGGCATTGGCAGAGCAGATGATTAAAACAAGGCTTTTGATCTTAATTGCAGCTCTCTTTAGGGAAAAAACCAAAAACCTAAACCCCCAAAAAACCTAAACAAACAATCAAGCCCTATTTTCTTAAAAATTTTCCTGAATTATACACCTGTATCATGAGACTTTTATTTTCCAAGGTGCCTGCTAATTACATCTGTGCTTAACATTCCAATTCTGGTTGGATTTTTTTCTGCATCCAGTGTGGATCAGGACAAGCCTCTACAGCATCTCCAACAGCTGCTGGAATTACTGGTGTGTGCTTCTCATGACCCTTTAAAATTCTTTGATGGATTTCAGAGAAATTTTATGAAACTGCAGACGTGGTATGGGGCATTTTTCTCAGATCAAAGATGAATTGCTGTAATTTGAATTAGCTGGCTACGCTGTTCAGCTGAAATGCAATTTTCTTTTAGATATATACTTAATTGCAATGAAGATTCTTGCCTTGCCAGCTACTTTTGATATTGATTTTTAAGCTGGGACTAGGGATGTGATACAGTAACAGACTTGCAGGGTGATTTGGGAGCTACATATATCAGGTTATTGATGCTGACTGTCTCTCATGTTTGTTCTAAGGAAGCATCAAAAAAAAGGTATTTTTACCACTTAGAGTGGTGTGGTTTCCAGCTCTGTAAAAAATCAGATTTTGTTCTATTTTTTCCTATGCTATATCATAGGAAAAAAATGTATATTTCTGACCCACATTACATGTGTCAAAATATTATCATCTTTAGGTGTAATAAAAATGATTGTCAGTGAAAACTAGAATTTTATTCTTGCAATAAACTCTGTATGGTGATAAAAAACCTGATTTTGTTAGGCTAAAAAGAGTTGTTTTTCAGATATAGAAGGTTCAAAACCATTGATTTTTACATGACCAAAATTGACTCCTGTTAAGATATACACAAGTATATGAGTGTATCTTGAGAAGGAGAACCTTCAAGGATGAAAACTATGCAACCTCTCTGAGCAAGCTGTGCCTCCTCATGATAAGAATGCTTTTTCCTTAAATTCACTCCAAATCCTCTTGTTTCAACTTCCACTTTATGCCTTTTGTTCTCTTGCTGTGCAGCACTGTGCAGATTCTGGCTCCATCCTCTTGATGATACAGAGGTAGCAGAGAGTAGTCAGATACCCTCCAGGGGACTATTTATATACTGCACAATTTACAGTGTCTAATACTTTAAATCCCCTTTTATTCTTTTAATTCAGTAGTTCAAACCAAGAAGTGATGAGTAGGCTTTGTTAAATTGGGAAAAAAAAAAAAAAAAAGCCCCAAACAACTGTTAGAGTTGTATGAGTCTGATAAAGTTGGGGTGGTTGTAAAGAGCCCAGCAGTGACATAGAGAAGCAGACAAATGAGGATTGTCTGCTTGGCTCCACTGAAAAGCAGAATCTCTTAGTGCTGACATGGAAATACAGCAGCACAATTCTATTGCTTCTGGCATCTGAGTTAACTTTTTCAGAGCTATCTCTCTCTGTGAAGCATTGAGCTTTTCTGATCAAAAGCAAGTGCAAGATAAAAATATGATTAGGCAAATCTGTCTTAAACTTTTTCCAGTATCTGAGATGAAAAAAAAGTTTCAATTTTAAGAAAATGTGTTGAGTATATTGCTAGACTTCAAGAAGGGCTTGCATTTTGTGATAGCAGTAATAGCATAGGAGCACTTTATATTTTTCACTACATGCAATTATCAAATAATGTTAGCTTATCTTGACCATAAAAGGAGGCATTTCATGAAATAAGAAAATCTCATCATCCTTCTTGCCTTGGTTGTAAATGACACTCGCTGATTTTGCAGTTAATAGAGTTTAATATGTTTTAACCAGTTTTTCACTCTGAGAAAACCAAACTGTCATTCTGAAGAGCTGGGAGTTAATTTCACTGCCTAGAAGGACACATATGGATTTGATTGATCCTCAGGATCTCAGTGGCAGAGCTGGGGATTAAAAGTATGATAATGTAGGCTACTTCTGTACCTTCCACACAGGAAACCTACTATAGAAAACGAATTACACAGATTTGGATATTCAGTGGCATCATGGCAGTAAACTATTCCAAGGGAAGTATGTTATTTGGAAGGAAGCTGACAGCCTCGTGTATCACCAACCCCAATATATCATGATTGAATGAATAATGGAAAGGAGTGAAATATAATGTGCTGTCCTGGAGAATCGTTACTGTTATTATTATTTACACTGTGTCTTCTATGTATATGTTGAATGCAAATTTTTTGCTACTGTATGCAGGATTGTGAGCTAATTAATTTTTATGCTGAGGGGATTTTGGCCATGTCTCAACACTGTGTAAGAGGTTGAAGAGAGTTAGTAATAGGGCTGATATATCATTTTCTTTCAAAAACCGATATTCAGCAAAAAATGGGTCATTACCAAATCGTCTTTCAGAAAATTGCTCAGGGTTCTTTGCAAAGTTATAACTTTCCATTGAAAGTTTTCAGATTAAAAAAATTCCCATTATATTTATTTATTTTTGTCAAAAGCTTATTGATATATAGGAAAAAACCCTCTGGTGGTATTATAAATTGTGTTTTCCTCAATTTCTGTTAGAGAATCTTTTGGTCTAGCTTTAAAAGGAGTTCCTTTGCATTGTCTGTTAATTATTTTTAAATATTCCCAGTCACTTTCATCTGGCCCATCATAAAATAGCAAAAAGGTAGTCAATTATGTGATATAGGGCTTTCTGCATTCAGAGATTTAAAAAAAAAAAAAAAAAACAACCCTTACATTATTTTCTGTGAAGTGAAAACCTAATGTGTCACTTAAACAAACTGACAAGAAACAAACTGTCACCACTCAAATGCTGAGAAGAAAACTTCACTATTAAGGGAGGCTGTGCAAGGTCTTTTCTGTTCTTAGTTAAATCTTCAATTTTTTTTTTTAAACCAGCTTAATTAGAAGGCAAACTAGAACTGAGAGCAGAGATCATAGAGAAAACAAATTTGCATTTGGTTGCTCCAATGGAGACCCAGCTAACCAAGGAGGCTACTGTGGCCAGCCCAGTGCATTGCAATGGACTCTGCCCAGCCAGGCTGCAGAAATAAGTTTAGCACTGGGCAGTTTGTCAGTGCTTTGTGCACCAGCACCACTTTTACAAGAGCTCAGGAACTGATTCTCCACCCAGGCAGCAGCAGTTTGCTCTTCCTTTGGGTTTGACTGACACCCCTGCAAACCCTTGCAGTTTTGAGTTCATTGGGGTGTGTATGTGAGGGTGAAATGCTGGAATCAACAACAGGACTTGGGGCTATCTAATAAAAAATGAACGGTTCTGCCGATTTCAGAAGGAATGTTGTATATGAAAGATAAAATAGTCATTGTTACCAGGACTAGACTGCAGTTACACTCCTAAAATTAAATTAAGTACTAATTAACATGAGGCTTTTACCTTAAACATTCAGGATCGGTCTGAGGTTTTTCAGTAACTTGGAGTTTTTCTGCTTCTAAATTCTTCGTCATTCTTTCTGTTTCCCTGATTACTTTCTCAAGGTCTAAACATGAAATCAGAATTACCCTATAGATATATATTAATCATCCATATCCTAGGACCTTCTACATATTCTAAATTTATATTTTCTAATATTTCTTCATGAAATTCTTTGATGGGTTAAGGCATCTAAAAAAGAAATTTATTTTATTATTATTGTAATTGCATATTGCAATCTAGAAAATTTCATTCATTTTCCCAAACAATTTAGGATCATATTTACTGCTTTTCTTAGCTCTTACTGTGACACTTACATAGAGGTAAAAGAAGATACTCAAACACTCATTTACATTATTTTATTTCAGATTTCAGAGTATTCTATATTGCTATGATCACCTTTGACACAGAGGATTTTAAACAGTATTTATGTTGATTTTAAGTTCCTTGAAACATTAAATATTAAATTCTACATTTAAGTATATGACTTACTGGCAAAAGCAAAACTTTCTTTGATATTTATGGCTCATGATTCAGCAGATCTCTGGACCTCAGTATCAATGACATTTAAATTAAATATCATTGAAATCCATAATATTTGTTATAAGCATGTTTAAAAATGATATATCAAATATTGTAAAAATAAATTAAAATATCGTTACTGTGATTCCTTTTGCTTGAGAAAAGAAAATTGACAACAAACATTTTTCAAAAGTGTTTGTCAAGCCAGAAATAATTATCACAAGAAATAGTAATCAGGCACACCTTTGAGCTCACTTTGGAGAGTAAATAAATCCTGCTTTAATTCATTCTTCTGCAGCTGGAGTGCATTTAACTGAACATTTTTATGTTCCATTGACTCCATTTCTAAGAAAAAATAATTTTAAAATTAAAATACATTGCAGTTTTAGCATTCATGATACAATCTTAAATATTCTTAACTACTTCTACCAATCTTCAGCTAGTCAAAAGAACCTTAAATATAAAACCAAAATAAACTAAAATAATTCATATATAACACAGTTCATAGGAAATTATGTCATATAATGTATTCATAGCTATGAAAGAAATATTTTTTTAATGCTATTGAGCCGTTCAGCATATTTTGTTGTCTGGGCATAAAAAGAATGTTTTGAATGTTTTGCTTTACAGTTAATTCAGGTATAAAAAAAGGAAGATGATTGAATAGGTGGAGAACAGACATATCTCATCAGGACTGAAAAAAACCCAACTTCTTAGTATTTTTGTTGTTATATAAATTTGAACCTTACTATTAGACAGCATCTGGAATTAATTGTGATTTTTTTTTGTACCAGTTGGAGGTCCTCACATAATTTTCTTGTTATGAGTTGCTTAAACTTTTCACTTCAGAGTTTTCACTGTGCCCAGGAGTGTAGTAAACAAAAAGACAGACAAGTTGTACCTCAAGAAAGATGCAATTAAAAGATGGAACTGAGATGGCAACTGAATTTGGAGAAGAATTTTGGTCACCTTTCAGGTACTTCTGATCATTTAACTGCCCAGTTCTGCTTGAATATGTAAAAATTAAGTGCTAAAAGTAGCATTCAACACCAAATAGAGACTTTTCAGTTGTAGATTAGTATCTTAGCCACAGGAAATAAGAAAGAAGGTGCTACCAAGTGCAAACTCCAGCGGAAATGCTGGTTTGACCTTTTTTTGATAACCTTGGTAATGGTCACTCCTAATTGCTTTGGTAATGGAGTCTTCTAAAGCAGAGAGCTTCAGTTGTCCACTGTTCTTAGAAAGATTCTAAGCTGTCAGACAGACTCTCCTTTATTGTGCTTTACACTTGTTACTTTTTATTCAGTTCACTACAGGTATAGAGAATATATTTATTTCCTTTCTACAGCATACTTACACAATTTGAAGACCAATAGCCATCTTTCATCAGTGTTCTCCTTAATAGCTTAAATAGTCCCAATTCTTTCATTTTCCTCCTTCTCATGTGCTCCAGAACTCTGATCACTCTCACTGGTCCTATGTGGATTCTCTCCAGCTGGTCCACACTTTTTTTAAGTTTAAGATCAAAATGAGATGCACAACACTCCAGTTCAGAACTTAACTGCCCCAAATAGAGTGAGGAATTATTTTCACGTGTTAGAGGTCAGAATTTTGTTTGTGTCTCAGTGTGGTGTTGGCATTTTGATGTCGTTGACTCATGTTCAGCCTGTGATCCATGACGACCCCGAATTCCTTGTGGAAGGACTGCCCTGCAGTGTGACCCTGAGAGATCCCATACTTTGTACCTTCACTGAAAATCAAGCTACACTGTGGCAGTAAAGAACCAATCCTACAGGACATCTGTGTATACAATTCTTTTGAAGCTAAGGAATTCTCAACCACAGGTGATTCTAAACCTAATTCGGTCTCTGTGTACGACTGTGAGCTCTGTGCTGGCTGAATTGGGATTTGCCTCTTTAGCTTGGCTCCTTCTCCTCACAATGCCCACATCAGAAAGGCTGAAGAGGACAGGGGACAGAAGAGCCTTTAATTAGGCTTGGTATGTCAGACCACACTCTTTCAGTTCAGTGCTAAAAGGAAGCTCCAGACAGTTGGGGAATGAAATTAAAATTACTGGTTTGCACAGCTGTATTTTTTCGGTTTGTGTTAATCCAAGATAAACTGGTTTAATATAAGACTTACCATTTTTCAACAGAGCTGCCTCATTCTCTAAATCATTTATTTCAGTCTTGACTTTCTTTTTAATATGAAGATCTCTATTACTTGTTAGTCCATATTCATTGTTAAACTCTGTTATTTCTCTGGTAAAATTATCTTCCTCTTCAGTAATTTTTTTCTTTGCATCTGCCTGAAAAAAAGAAAGGGAAGACTGAATGTTCAGGTGAAAAAAAAATGAAAGTCTTTGTTAAGCTAGGCAGATTGGGACACACTGTTGTTTTTTATCCTTAAATTTGTAGTAGAAAAGTAAATAAACAAAAAATAAATCTAAAAGTAAAGAAAATATTTACTTTTTCTTATAGGAACATGAAAATAGGCTACCAATCTATCATTATGCCTGTTATTTTAAACATTTTTTCCCTGCAAAAATGAAGGGTCTATTCTTGCTAACAGAGCATTTAAAAAATCACTACATTATAATATAGACTTGAACAAGGAGATTTTCAGTTCAACTCTCATATTGAAATTAGAAAATTCTGTTTACAGTTACTAGCATAGTATAGCAGCTCTTTTTCTCTAGCTTGTTATTAAACTAAATAAAAGTTTTTAACCCTCTACAGAATGCAGATGTACTTTAACTCCCTTTACAACTACCAAGAATGCTATTGTTGATAGAAAATCACAATTCAATTTTCTGGGAAAAAATTTTCAAAAGAGTAAGGTTATATTAAATTTCTTCTAAGAAGCCTTAATTGATTGCTGAATTAAATAAAAGATAACATATATCAAACTTCACACATATACTGGGAATACTTTGGGTGATGCAGAAATATGACTAAAGTTAAAAAGATAACTGCCTAAAGATTTAGGTTTAATACTGGTGATTCGTACTGAATGTTTGAAATTTAGCTCTGCTGGTTTAAAGGCAAATATATATACAGAAAAGACTGCTCCTCTGTGGCATTTCTTCATATGTACAGATCCAAGATGCCTCAACAAAGTAAGAGGAAGGCAATAGTCAAGTCAGAATCAGAGAACTGGAAAACTTGTAAGTAGCTACCTTTGAAGAGTGGTGAGGTGTGTCTGGCACCAAAGAGATTGTGTGTTATGTCAGGATTGCTAAACTGTCCACATTTGCTAAAATGTGGTGTGGGCCTCCCTGGGGTTTTCCTTTGATGATTTTCAATATATTTTACAGTGGATGAGGCAATCCAATTTAAGGTGAGGCTTCTGTAGCTTACTTTTACAAAGGAAATAATCTGTCAGAATTGGAGTTCACTCCTACAACAGCAAATATTAGAAAATGAAGTCAAGAATATAAAATCAACTTTGGAGATAAAATGCAGCAAACACTACCAGATCATGGTTTAAATGAAATGTGAGAATTTATCTAAGTTTACATTGTTACATATATTAATATAAAAAAAAATGAAAACTTTTTGATTAAAACATTAGCTTTTCTAGATTTTCAAATTTTAAAACTGATTGCTCTTGTACAATAGAAAAGAGCTGTGTGATGTGAATATCACAGCTGGAAACATACCATGATTTTAAGAAGACTGGTTCTTTGATTAATAAGTTCAGCTTTTTGTTTTTCTAAGCTGTCTTCTTGTTTCTTCAGTATTTCTACATTGAACTGCTTTACAGACAGATGCTGAACCTTCCAAAAGGGAAAAAAAAAGTAAAGTTACTGTTTAATTGTTTCATATACTCTGAAATTGTACACAAGGATCTTGGTCCAGTTTAAAAAGAGTTGGCACAGCTGCTGGACTAACGAAAGCATAACAGCTCCTTTTTTTTTCCTCAGTAAATTTTCAGTATACTGCTAAGATTTTGAGAAGTCTCTCTTCTTTGAAAGACTCATTCATTTAGTGTTGTTCTATCATTATAAATTGGCATTTTAAAATCTGCTAGGTTTAGAAGAAATTTTTTCCAGAAAACATATTGACCACATGGGATCCTTTAGCCAACATAATCCACTGTCCTCCATGTCACTGTGTAAAGCTCATCATGAATCAAATGAGAAAATAGTATCAAAATAATATCAGGGGGACAGGGGTCCAGCATCCTGGTTTTGGCTGAATGGCTGTACAAGTCATGTACTCTGCAGTGCTGCTATGGAATGTGCAAAGGAGAGCAGGATATTTTTCTGAGCACAATTTCTGGAATTTTTAGCTGAGGAAGGATAATGGGAATTAGCTCACTGGTTATTGGTAGTTTGATCATAAACCCCCCAAGCCCTAAACCTCACTTTTGCACCTAGGTTTATTTAGAGATTTATTAATTTTAACCATTACTTTATCTGATAGGAGGGTATGCTGTTCAACCACTGCCTTTTCAAAATTTGCTGAAGACTTCTCATTTTTCTAGCACACCTACTGTATCATCATCTAACCAAAGTGCAGATATGTGTTGGGATAAACTAATAAACTATAATAATAACAAATAGGAAATAGCTAAGTGTTGTAGAGTCTTAAAGGAGGAGAATAATTTATTTGATGGAGTGTCAAGTTCTCTTGATTCAGAGCAATGACTAGGGGAAAGCAAAGCTAAGATTTGCCTACAGAGAGTAAAGGCACAGGGTAAGTATCAGGAATTAAATTGGACAGTCAGGCTGATACACAAGTGTTTGTGTGTGTAGAAGCAGAAAAGACCAAATAAGAGTGATATTACAGTGGTAAAAAATGAAAATATTTTGAAGATAAATAATGCACATGATTGTGGAGAGGGCACAGATGAAGTGCATTTGATCAAAATAGGAGGATAGTGGAATGAAATGCCCAAAGACTGCAATGTGAGTGTTTGAAAGGAAAGGACTAGATTTTTTTCCTCGTCCCTGATATGTCCAGCATGCTAAGTTTGCCAGTCAGAATTTATTTTACATGTTAATTCAAAGAAAGTAGGTGGTCTTACACCACTGTATTTGTAATAACTAAAAATAGTTATTTGCACATAACTAGCTTCAGTGTAGTTTCTTCAAGTTGCCAAAATTCATCTATGCATTTGTAACCAATTTTTTAAAGAAGTCATTGAGGGACAAACAGTAAAGTGCTGTAATTTGGGTTTTAATTACATGCTACCTGGTTTTACAGAAGAGAGGGGAAAGCTGCATTTCCTAGGACTCTGATTGACCACAGGCAGTGTCTGTGAAATAGATGTCAAAAAACTTCTGAACTGTCTCATCATCTTGGTCAGGCATCAGGTGCTGAGAATGTATATGGTTGGATATGTGTGCTTGTAAAGAACTGCAGTTATTTGATGTGGGATAAATTGAACAGCATTATCTAATACTATTTGAATTACATGAACTATTCCACTTTTTCTGTATCATTTCCTATCTATAAATGAATCAACATCAGACTAGGCAAGCAAGTAAAATGTATTTTCATGGACATCATTGAGAATGTCATTAATACTAGTCAGTAAAGCACATAAAATTTAATTAGATGTAGTTCTTCAGCTCTTCCATTAGTCATTTACAATAATGGCTTCACTCTCAGAACCTTCTGTACCTACCACATAAACCTTGATTATAAATCACAATGCATCAATAGCAAATTAGTAGTATAAACATAAAATTGTGATATTCGTAAATAAACTTATGAATAGGACTACTGAGGACTTCACCTAACAAGCAACATCCAGATATAATCTGTGTTGGATAAATAAGTTACTATTTTAAAGCACCTTTGGGCTCTGAGATTGTGGCATGCATAAATGTGAGTGTCTGAATAACTGCCTACATGATTATAGTGTCAATTTGCAACCAGTAAATATTTGTAAATAAGTTCTATTCTGATCTCAGCAATGTTGATGTATATATATTATATAGTCTGTTACAAAAGGCAGAAGAGACTGTTTTAGGAAGGATGAAAGTCATCCCCCAAACATTTATTTTCACAACTAGATGAGGCAATCTCCCAAAGGTTCTTGAAGTTGTTTATTTAAATTATAGGATCCAGCAGCTCTGACTTCAAAGGAGGCTCCACATGCTTTCCTGTTGTGAACACACATTCTGTCAGCACAGATACTTAAGAGCACAGGGGAGGGTATTTAGACTTCATTTTCAGACACAAGCAAATAGATTTTTAAATAATTCTCAACCACAGGTGTTGTTGATAACAAAACTCTGCAAAACCAGTGGCTTAATCTGAAAACACATTTGAAGTTTGATTAAATGGAAAGAGTATTAAAATCACTAAAAAGATTCAGAAACTTTCCTCTATCTTTGGCCTCCCTAGGAAAACACTTAGGGCTTGTAAGCCTTAACTGTAAGCTCACAGAAAGATCTTCAGCATATGACTTAAGATACTGTGAAATAAATATAGGGAATGTTTCCATGTATTTTCTGTGAAAGGCCATTAATAAATGGCACTGGGCAACCAAGGGATGGCTTCTGCACACTGGAGGAAAGTGCTGTAACAAGTTGTAAGACTGTTAAAATGGGGTCTGGCCCCAAAAGTCAGCCTGCCCTGAACACAGCCAGGGTGAGATCTGTGGGAGGAAGGATGTTGACAGACACATTTTTAATTCAGAAAGGCACAGTGCAGGTTTCCTCCATGCTGTGCTACTCAGCAGGTGAAGCACTTCCTCGAAAGTGCTTATTCCTGAAAGAATAGGTCGTATCTTTGTAAACACAACATATTTCATTATTATGTACACTATAAATATGCCTGCTCACCTTGGTCTCTAAGTTAATTTTTGCAGCGCTCAGCTCTTCTTTTATTTGGTTCATTTTTTCATAACTTCTATTTATGTCACATTTAGCTGCAAGACAACAAAAACCTGTAAGAGTATGTGCTCAGTTTGTAAACGTTGCATCCTTACAGAAAGGTGCTGGTGGCCAGAACCAGCCATGCTGGCTCTGCCGAGCTTTCCCTGGCACCAGTCCCCTCAGGACACCTCTGTGGGACTCATCCTCCGGGAATGGTGAGGCCCCTCAGGATGGGGCTGACCTTGTTGGATGAAGCTCCTCTTCTCCCTCGCCTGCTTCTCCGTGAACTGAATTTGCTGGAACAAAGCGTTCAGGTTCATTCCTGCCTTCTGGTGGGGCTCCGTGGGCTGAGCTCTTGGTGAGGGCTCCGGGAGGGTCCCCACAGCCCTGCCCTCAGCCCTCAGCCCCGGCCTCGGCTCCCTGCGCCTGCGACAGAGCTCTGGGGACACGGCTGAGGGACACGGCTGAGGGACACGGATGAGGGGACACGGCTGAGGGACACGGATGAGGGACACGGCTGAGGGACACGGATGAGGGATACGGATGAGGGACACGGATGAGGGACACGGATGAGGGACACGGATGAGGGACACGGATGAGGGGACACGGCTGAGGGGACACGGCTGAGGGACATGGATGAGGGACACGGCTGAGGGACACGGATGAGGGGAAATGGCTGAGGGGACACGGCTGAGGGACACGGCTGAGGGACACGGATGAGGGACACGGCTGAGGGGACATGGATGAGGGACACGGATGAGGGGACACGGATGAGGGGATGCGGCTGAGGGGACACGGCTGAGGAACAAGGCTGAGGGGACACGGCTGAGGGACACGGATGAGGGACACAGATGAAGGGACGCGGATGAGGGGACGCGGATGAGGGGACACGGCTGAGGGGACACGGATGAGGGACACGGATGAGGGACACGGCTGAGGGGACATGGCTGAGGGGACACGGATGAGGGACACGGATGAGGGGACACGGGGACAAAGAGGGAGGTGAGGGTTTGCCACCCTTTTTGCAGAAAGGATGGGAAGAGCAAGCCTGAAGCAGAGGGAAATGTGGGGGAGCCCACTGGGAATGGGAACACACAGGCAGCACGGTACGAGCAGAAGGTGTTTGGTAAGGAAAAAGTTGGCACT